TGGCCTCTCGGGCGCCCCTCGGCCCGGACTCGCCCCGGCCTGGGCCCTGGGCGTTGCCACCGGCCGCCGCCGCCGGCGGCGGTATAACCTCCTCCACAATACGCCGCCGGGCCTGGGCGCTTATATGGCGATGCTGCGAACCGATATGCGATATGATCGACTTGGCCGTCACTGCGCTGCAATGCTCGCGGCAAATCGCGATCCGGAACGTGGGCAATGGTTTGAAAATCTCGTTGAACGTTGCCATGGTTCGCCGCTCGCCCCTCCGCGCCCCCTTCTCTCTGGCTATTTCCTCTTCCTCTATATTGTCGATGTTCGGCCTGGCTGGTGGCTGGTGGGCCTGCAACCTGATTGTGTGAACAAAAACTTCGATGTTGTAAATTGCTTGTTTTCGATAACTCCTGCCTCTCTTGTGGCCACCCTGGGCACTCCTTGGCCGCGTTATGCCGAGTCGGTAGCGCAAGTAGTCGTAGAGAAAATAGTTAGTAGAGGAAGTATACAGGAAGTGGCACCGTGAAGAAATAGTCTCAAGAGGCAAGTAGTAATAGAGGATAGGTTTGGCAAACTAGGAGAAATTGTGTTGCAGAACAAAGTTTGTTAGTAAGAGGGTAACTACTGACATAAGTGGTTTGCAAGAGCAAACGACGGTTCATAGAATCTACTAGACACTGTCGGCTGGCGGTATCACCTCAAATAACCGCTGTAACGCGCCGTCCCGCCCGAACCGCTGGCAATATCCCCCATCCCCCCACCCCTCGCCCAGCCCGCCTGCCGGCATCCGCCCTGGCTTGCCGCCGCGTCCCCGCGGGTTCGTCCAACCGTGCTGGACCCGGCAATGCTTCTGAATGTCCTCCCTTGTCCGCCGGATGTGCCCGCACTGCACGCATTTCTTTCCATCACTCCAGACCGGCAACCCGTCGATTGCGGGCATGATCTCGCACGGGAACCGAATATCTTGCATGTCGGCAGCCAAAGAACCGTCGTCTCGCAGTGCGGACGCCTCCTCTACGATGCGCCGCCGATCCCCTGGAGCCAGGCGGCTGTGTTGCGAATCGATGTGTGAGGCGATCGACTTGGCTGTCACGGCGCCACTGTGCTCCCGGCAAATCGCGATCCGGAATGCAGGCAACTGGATGAAGAATTCATCGAACAGCACGATACGTAGCCCTTGAGCGGTACGTCGTTGAGATGCTAGGATTGGCGGCTGACTGATGGTCGCGACGTCGTTCCTGTCCTGCACAGTTGCCATTCCTATTCCTATTCTTGTTTCCGTTCTAGTCAATGAGGTATGCCGTTGCAATCTTGAGAAGGATTCTGGGGAAGGTTCCCTAGCTGGCTGTAGCTGTAACCTTGAACCGTCGGGGGCTTGATCGTTTTGGAGACCCCTAGCCTGTGTAACCTGAGGCTCTTCTCCTTCCTCTTCTAGACGACGCTTCTTCGGCGGTCTATGGGCATGGGGCGCATCGGCTCCCCTCTTATCGGCAGAGCCGGCTCCTCGGTCGCTAGATAGGATGCTGATGGTTGCTGGTTGTACGCTGTTGAGAGCCGTCTGAGGACGCACAGGTTGAGCAAGCTGCGCGACAGATACCGGCTCACAGACATCAACCGGGTAATCGTTGAGCTGCAGAGTGGCTGCGGACGGACGACGCTGCCGTGCCGCCGTTTCGGGTGCTGGTCGCGCCTGCTTGGGCTGCTCGAGCTGCAGAAATCGATGCCACGCCGAGGATATCAACTTGTAAACTCGCAGCAGAGCGGGTTGGAGGCTATCGGGAAAGGCCCCGTCTAGCCCATATGTACAAGCTCTTTGCATGGGCCGATGTCCACTCTGCCAGGCAAACACCACGTTGATATCAGCGTCTGCTGTCCGATCGTCGAAGCGGTTGAACGGATTGGCAATTTGCTGAACATGCCTCTCAGTGAAGGCGATGGAGATCTGCCGATACAGATGGGTGCCAAATGCTCGGCCAATGGTCAACTTCGTGACCCGCTGTAGCGCCCTCGACAGGATTGCTGTCTTCCAGCACTTGTTGGGTCTCTGCGGGGAACAGAAGAGTAAGGTAGAGTCGACGTCGATGTGGTAGCAACGCCGCTGCAGCATATAGATAAACGGCCGGATGTACACAAGGTATTGATAGAGAAGATGGCCGACATTTTTCGGCAGTGTGCGGGCAACATGGAACTCGTTATTGGTAACGGTACGAGCCTTGACATGCCTGGTCACGAGGAAGAAAGAACCGTCGTAGACGTATACCCCCCGACTCGTCGACGTCCCGTTGCAATGTTCGAGGGACATGAGCTCTGTTGCCCGAGAGGCCTGGCCGCCGGTGAGATGGATCAACGCCATGAGCTCCACCAACATTTGTTCATGCAGCTCCATATAGCGACGGGTTGCTTGGTAGTCCCAGCCGTTCTTACCCATGAGCCCATCCACCGGGGAGAGGCAGGCACGCTCTGACAGGGCTAAGAAGGCATCGGCCAGGTGGTTTGCTGGTTCGGTCACGAACGAGTAGCCTTTTTCCACTTTAGACATCTTGTCCTGGACGGTGTGGAGATCGATTACCGGCTGCAAGCCGTACATCAGGCGGCGTGTCGAGGAAGTGACAGACTCGAGTAGAGTATGTGATAGAGCTCGAAATTGCTGCATCGAGATTTGGCCCTCGTCCCAGGACAAGACCTGGCCATCATCGCTCCATCGAACACGGAAGACAGGTCCGTCCGCCCGTGCCAGCTTGCGGCCGTAATTCCGAAGACTAAGTAACTCGCCAACCGGGGCCTGGGAACCTAGGCAAAATGCTCTCACCCGGACCTTGTTCAGGCGCTCAAGCTGACCCCGGCGAGGTCGGGCTGCGATCCCGATA